GTTAAAATAAACAATCTATAATTATCATGTAAAAAAACACGCATGGTACACATTGTCTTTGTGCTAAAAATAGTGATATGTTTAAGAGTAATGTTTAACTTTGTATGATTTTAATATATTTTTTTAGCAACATTTATCAGTAAAAATAAAAGATTAATTAAAACTAAGCATTTACCTATGGATAAATATCCTCCTACTTACAGTTTAACACAGAACATACCACATTAACTAAATTGACATATAGAACAGTACACTAGATCAGATCATTTTTATATACCTGTCAATGTAAACATTTCAAAAAAATGATCTGATCTGGTGTTATTACATTATATTATTATAGAGGCATGATATACATAATAATGAACTTGACATTATTTATTTGAATAAGTTACGCAGCAGAAAGACTTCTCAGCGGAAAAGTGTATAAAATATAGAAAATGCTACAAATTCGGAGAATGGAGCTTTTCCGTGAGGTAGACTGCAAGATAGGACAAAGATGATAAGTGGCATGTCATCTGGTGTATGAGTTGTTAGGTAATAGGATGATGATGTTAGTCTTTGTGGTGGTACTTGTGGTGGGCTGCGGTGGGCGAATGAAATAGGTCTGTGTGACGGAATTTTTTGATTGTGAAAGAGGGAGATGAAAAGATTTTCTTTTTAAGGATGTATATGATATTGAAAGGTGAGAGAAATGTTGAGATAATAATATTGTTAGATTGAAAGTTTTAAGTTCCTTGAAGTGACCGAGATCTGGGTGACCAGATTCACCATGTTTTATGTATACATATTGATAGGCAACACATGAAAAGTATAACCCTGTAATTTGTAGAACTAAGAAAAAAGTATATAAGATTAAACAATTAACTCTTTTTATGCGTTTTCATAAATATGACAACATTTTATGTGTCCCTGTAAATATGGTGGAACTGGTCACCCTAGTCGGGATACTATATATATCCCACGGGGTCAATCATTTGTCTTCAAAATGAGATGTTAGAAGAAATTAGTAGAAATATGATCTCTGGATTTAATTTGTGAAGTCATCTTGGATGTACTATAAGAAAGACATTATTTTTTTTGAGGTATTTGATGCTTTAAGAAAAAATATTGCCCGTGGGTTTAACATTGTAACATTAACATTATAAAATGGTCTTTTGTAGAGGACTTAAGAATGAGAAAGTTGTTAGGATGTGAGGTCTTTTAAATGACCTGAGATATGTTAGATGTGATCAGTTGAATGTTGATCGATGGGTTTGACGTTGTATTGGCCAATAAAGCTGGTCTTGATTTTTTTACGTCTACTCTGAAATGAGAATGTAGTTGGATTATGAGATGGAATTTGAGGTGTTCGTGACGAATTAGATACAATGAGAAAATGACTTGTGGGTTTTACTTTGTGTTTTGATGCGAGTGGTGAAATGTGATGTACCAGTGGCAATGCAATTGTCCAATGAAATAATTTGTTGGGTAGACCATGAAGTTCTACATAGAGAATGAGTGTAGCTTAGCATCCATTGACACCTATCTCTCATATAATGTGACTAAGATCCATGTAAATGCCAAATCTCAACCTTCCATTAGGAATAATTGTATCCTTTATTCTATTGAGATTGATATTGACCTTTTCATAGAAGTGGCTTGTCTGGAGTATGTGTCCATATGTGACAATACCTACATATTTGTTGTCCTCATTTAAATACCCTTTTTAAATGGGGATGAATTCTTGTTTGACAGATAAGCTTTCTTGCTAATTTTGACAATTTGATCTTTCATTAGAATGTTTTACTGCAATCAGATTTATGTTCCCCCTTTTTAATGAAGGGAAAATGAAGTTAGTGTAAGGTGTGAAAAAGGATTTTGGCGTATAAAACCGGGAAAAAAAATGTTCATAGAAATAAAATCAGCACAAACTAAGAATTGGACAGATATTGTCGGTTTATCTCATGTTAGTCTATTAAACTAACTGTATGTATCATGCTAACTATATACCATATTAGCACAATCAGCTCTAAACAAACATACTTAATGTATTTCAGGACAAAACAGAAAGAGACCTGTCTGACTAATTCTGAAAACAAAACGTTCAAGACAATCAGAATGTGTTGTAAATAATGTGGGTCTGAAACACAAAGATGTCCAGACTACTGGACACCTCTCATATCTCTTGACTACTATACAACTTGTCGCTGTAAAGGATATTATATAATGATATTATATGTGTGCGCGTTAATAATGATATTATATGTGTGCAAGTTTTAATAGAAAGAGCAGCTATTTCAAAAAGCAAATATATGGATGTTAAGATGCAATCTGAAAGAATAAGTTCTGTAATAATGTATTTCATACGTTTTGATATAAATACATATATATATATAAAATGAGTCAGAAGATATCTAGCAAGATAAATCACAGGGTCAAAAAAAGAATGTGTTTATTTATTTTACATGGTTATAAATATATTGTAGCAGTCAGTTTTCGTGGTTAATTTTCACAAAGAACATTCTTTATATGAGTAGCACTTTCAAGTCTAACGCACAAAGCTGGATCTAACAGTGACCTTGTCCATTAAATGCCACTGCACTTTTGGGGTTGGGGGGGTGATTTATTTAGGATTTGATACTGGAAGCCTTGTAGATGAGCTTTGAGTTAAATACGATGTGTTTCCCTGAGTGAAATGCGATGGGTTTGCCTAAGTAAAATGTGATGTGTTTTCCTGAGTGAAATGCAATGGGTTTCCCTAAGTAAAATGCGATGGATTTCCCTCAAGTGGACCCAATGTGTTACTGTGAGTGAAACATTTTACTGTGTAGAAAACAATGGATTGTCCAAGTTTAATACAATGGGATTTTTAGAACCGAAGACTATCTGCCCTAATTTAGGCAAAAGGGCAACATTTGTGTCTAAAGAATGTTGTAAATTATGTTTTCAAAGACGTTAAGCTTGATGAAAACAAAAAATGCTGGATTTGGTCCTGCAAAGACTTTAAAGAACAATGGATGAACAAGTCTACCTTCTGTGTAAGAAAAAAAAGACCGAAAACACTTATTTTTTAAAAAAATATTTCCGTTATGTTGGCTGTCATTTGTACACTGGTAATTACTTTGTTGTATTTGAAATTGCAATGTTGTTGTTTTTTACTTCAGTTTCTGCAAAAATTAATTTATAAAGCCCATAGGGGGTGGAGAGTTAATAAATCTATACATTCCATATATTGAAGGTAAAGTTTAGCCAATAACCTACAATCGATTGCTCTGTTACAATACAGTTTTTACCAATGAAATAAGCTGGACCTTTTAGACGAGTAGAACAATGTATCGAAACACTACTTAATATAAAAATATGATTTACCAGACCTCCCGAAATAAAATCAATTTCACAATATATAGCACAAATTGTCAGTCTTCCGGGAGATAACATTTTATATTCTTTTTCTGTTAAATGCCCCTTTTTGGAAAGAAAGCTTCAATAAATGTTCAGGTTTCTGGTAAAATACAATATTATATCCGTTGCTAGATCTTCTTCCATACTTTGGGAGAGAAAGAACAGATTTAGCAGATTATTTAAATCCCAATGTTCTACAACACACCTGTGCTGAGATCTCTGCACACCTGCCGGTATCGAAGCAATCTAAGCTTCTTTCCTGCTAACCTGTGCATTTGGCTGGAAGCAGTTCATCTAATGTATCCTAAGGCATTTCTGCAGACTGTAATTACAGCTGTGGGTTTCTTTTCAATCACGCTCCGTGGCAGATACGAGAGTCCATCAGTTTGCTACCATTCTATCTGTCAGCCCTGAAGTGTCTGCAGATAAAGGACACAGCCTGCTCCGTTAATAGTCTTTAGAGCGCTTGTTAAAGATGTCCAGTAACTCACTCTGAAATGAGATTGGACACGATCATCGTATTAGTGTCATCGGGGAGGAGATCCATTTTGGGATACAAGTGTAGCAAGAATTCTGAATACTTTGGCAGTAGCATGGTGGGGATGATGTGTTAGATGGGGGTAGAGAGTCACCTTTGCCTAATGTTATATATCCTTGTCAGTCTATTAATATCTGTAATAATTTGATTATTAGCATACAATAACATACAATGCAATACATATATGTGTCAATCTGCTTGAGATTTACATTCCAGAGAGGTACCTGCCACCAATTTAATTTTTAATTTCCATGTGCTCCCCTTATATTAAAGACCTCCCCTTACAAACTATATTATTATAATACACTGTTACACATTAACCCCAGCACCACCCTAATAAACTTTATAATACATTAACCTCTACACTACCATACTAAACTATGTTGCATATTAACCCCTGCACTACCCTAATACACTAAATTACACCTTAACCCCTACACTACACTAGTAAACTATACTACACATTAACCCTGCAATACACGAATATTATCCCCTAAACATTGACCCCTAAATTGCACAATAACTCCTACAATCCCAATACACTTCCCTAAATATTAACAGAGCATTTGATGGCCCGGTGCAAAGCTAATGGGAGACATCAGGAATCCTACCAGTGGTCTATACCCAGTTATATGTTTATCAAATTATCGCCAAATCTTGACATAATTGGTTTCTGAGCCTTCTAGCAGGGAATCCAGCCATCAATAAAAGGCACAGTGGACGGGGTAAAGCTGCGCAATAGCATGGTCTTCACTTCTTATTAGTAATTCAGAAAAATAAAATATTTAAATCAAATAACTTTTTTTTGTAGTTAAGAGAAATGTGCTGTATGGTGTCATGTTCGTTGTAACGTATCCAGCACACTATCCATGGACATTTTATTCATGCATGACGCAATTAACACAAACAGTTCACAATAAAGTGCAATAGAGTCCATGAATCTATATTGCACACCAACTCCAGCTAAACCTGACCTTTAATTGCATTTAGTTCTTTATTTAAGTTTTTCATTTTATATACATATTTATCTCGATATTATTATATATTGACAATTGATCTACTTCCTATGGAAGCATTTTTTGTATGACAATATTAGATGCGATGTGTTGTTATCAATGTACAATAACTCTGTGTGTCCCATGTCCCATTTTAAGACCATCTCTGAGCTGTTGGGTGTTAAACAAGATATCATAGAGGACTCTAGATACATCGTACTATGGACTAACGATGAACTATCTGGTTGCCGAAATTAAAGAGCTTCTTGATATGGGTCTCACACTTGTTATGTTTGTTATATTACGGCAATTCTTCATGAATCTTCCTTTGAAATAAAATAATGTCAGAAAAATATATATTTTGTGTCCTGGGTTTAGTTATTGTTCAGTTATTACAGACAAATGGTGTTTTCATTTGTGGGTTGGAGAATGGTTGGAATGTGAATAAAGGTAACACGGTAAAATAATTGAAGAATGATTGGGATGTGTATAAGGTTAACAAAGTAATGGAATATAAAAATGCTCAGGATGTGTCTTAGGCTAACTCAGTAAAGGAAGTGAAGAATGCTTGGGATGTGTATAAGGTTAACACTAGAGATGTCGCGAACAGTCCGCGAACGGTTCGCCACAGTTCGCCACGAGCTGTTCGCGGCGAACTCCGGTCAGCTGACACATCCCGGCCAATCTCCAGCAGAACCTCCCTCCCAGACCCTCCTACTTCCTGGACAGCATCCATGTTGAAACATGGATGCTGTCCAGGAAGTAGGAGGGTCTGGGAGGGAGGGTCTGCTGGAGATTATTATTATTATTGCCATTTATATAGCGCCAACAGATTCCGTAGCGCTTTACATTGGCCGGGATGTGTCAGCTGACCGGAGTTCACCGCGAACAGCTCGTGGCGAACCGCGGCGAACCGTTCGCGAGAAGTTCGCGGACGGTTCGCGACATCTCTAGTTAACACACTAAAGTAAACACAGTAAAGGAATCGAAGAATACAGGGTATCAGGGGAGGCTCATCCATAGTTTTTATGTCGGGAAACAAATATGTGCAGTAATTTAGAAACACTAAGATTATTTCTGATTATTTTTTATGGAAAGGAGGGTGGTAAGTAAATAAAATATGTGGAAAGAATTGTGTGTATGGTCTCTCCCATCTCATTGGAAGCTTATTTGAGAGCATCTAGGCATGTCAAGAAAATAGGGCAGGTTTGAAATCTACCATGCTTCACCAGGTTTTGCCAGCATCAGTGCGACAAGACATTAAAAAGCTGCAGTGGTTTTGGTGCTCAGATTGTCCCTTTAATTGTGTTTCAGCTTAGTTAATATGATATAAATTTAGTGCATAATAGCACTGCTGGTTTGTCTCCCGTACATTACACGAACAGCAAATAGCCTAAGTACCCAATCCAGAAAAAATTATCACGCAATGGCAAAAAATAATAATTAATTTAAAAAAAAATGTAAAACTGTGACAATGATGGGGTTTCAGGAAACATTTGTCCAAAAATGCAATTATATTGTTTTACGGATTAATCCAAAAACAAAAAACAATTATACTACTTAACAATATGTTTAAGGGCAAATGGGATTATAAAAAAATCTTTTATCCGAAAATAGATGTTCTAGATCACAAGATAAAATAAGCACGTCCTGCTGGCTAATTTCATTTCCTATACTTTTTTTCTCCTTTAAATATTTCCTCCCCTAGGTCACTCATTAGGAGATGCTTTGTTTATCCCTCGTCCACAGCCCCCCGTCATCATTGGCTATTGCTGTGTGTGTGATCATGTTGGGTGTGACATGTGGTCACTACTACTGATGATTATCAGATGATAACTAATCTCAGTATGATGAGATTAAATAAATAGAGGAAAGATAGCAGGACAGCTATTAGACCATGGGCCATTATTCTCATCATTTCATGTAATTTATTGCAAAATAAACCTGAGTTTATCCTGCTGAGGAAGAAATTGCCTGGAGAGACATTGTGTAAATTAGGGTTGCTTTTTTTTAAATTTTAAGTATAAGAATTTCAGAAGTGTAGGAATCGGTCATGCAGACTCTTCCTGCATTTAAGGGGTTATTGGTTAAATATAAATAGTGAGCGAAAGTATTTAGACATACCCAAACCAGCTCAAGTTAATAAATGACAGTCCAACTTGCTAACGGTGGCATTTTGCTGCAGAGTTTCTGTTTCTGCTGTTTTTTAAAAAAAAAAAGACATTTATTTAAATGTTTTCACAAACATTTTAATAGCAATAACTGCAATATTTTTATTTTTAGCAAGAAAAAGAATTTAAGCCCATTATCACTTTATATAGCAAGCCATCATTTTTAACGGGCCAGTCGATAACATTTAATATATAAAACACGTACAATCCTAAAGTATGCATTTTTATACAAATCCCTAAATCACAATAAAACCACACATCTCTAAAAAAATAAATAAAAAAAAATCATTAATATATGAAAATGGCATCATACAAAATATATGCATAGCTATAACAAACATTCACTCCCACAACTAATTATATAACAACATATAATAATGATGAGGTCATAGAGACACATCCCAAGATATCTGACTAAATAACAATATCAGCGTTTATACATAAGTAATTGAAAAAATGGTCCAACACACTTCTATTGATAAAGAATAGCCATTTTTATTGGAGCCTCAAACATAGCATCAACGTTTCAACCTTGACGAAGGCCGTGTGTAGTTGAAATTTGGCTATGTTTGGGACTATACAAAGTAGTCGTTTTTGTGAAATTTTGATTATTTTTCATTTACTTGCATATAATCACTGGTTTTACGGGAGCGGATTCAACACACCTTTCCAGTGATGTTAGATGAGTACTTACTAAATTTGTTTGAAGGAATAGTATTTTGGGTAAAACAAATTGGAGATGCAGATTGAATGAAAATCACTCTCAATCACTAGACCTGGCTGCAAGTAATTTTTAATTTAAAACTGATTCATACAGTTCTGTTCCATTAAATTTCAATTAAACACTTAGCAATGCACGTATTAATGAGTTTACTAATTGGTGGTAGAGGAACCTCTTTCTTGAGACATAATCACAGAATGTTCTCTGATAAAGAAATATAGCGGGGGGAGGGTGGGTGCTATCTTAACATTTTATTTGCCAGTAAATGTTCTGTACAATAGATGGTTAGTTTTGACATCATTTTAAATGGAGCCATAACTCTTCCATTACTCTCAATGTCAGGTTAAAAGTTCAGAATCCCAGGTTTGGAAAATAAATTCAACTATTTATATATATAAAACATACAAACAAAATATATATTTGTGTTCGGGGCACAAATGCCATAAAGAGTGATAGAAATAGCGTAATACAGAATGGAAAAAGATGGCTGTGGTGTGCCAGAACCGACGATGCTGGTGGGCCTGTAAAATAAAGAGGGCCCACCCTTAAGGTGTAAAGAAGGGTAGATTAAGTATATTGAGGGAGTGGAGGGAGGGGACATGCAAATCGCTAGACCAGAAATGGTACAGGGGAAGTTGAGGTGTCCCTTTAAAAAGGTAAATAAGGTAAATAAAACACACAAGATCCAGCGCAATTTTAAAGCTCACAGAATGTTATAAGTTTTTTGTTTGTTTTTGTTTTACCTGACCTAGACAAAAATAATTGGGGTTTAATTACAATATATGATCTGCCATAAATTGGGTACATTAACATTGTGGAAGGCTCAGTCAACATATATACTCTAACCAAGCCACCATCATTTTTGCCTAGGTCAGGCGTATGTAAATAAAACTATTACATTCCGTGAGCTTTGAAATTGCTGCTTAGTGAATGAGTGAGTGGGCCGGGTCTTGTATTGTGTATGAATTGACCCCAGCAGCACCCTTATACGTATGCATGTTCAGGTAAGTGCAGCCTCTTGGTTTTATATACATAATATATATCGATATTTGTTATTGAACAGTTTTAGAAAAATACATTATTAACAATGTAAACATTTCAGGCATGTTCAAAACGATTTCTAAACAATTTATTCACAGAAGTCCCTACTAAAGTCTATGGGATTTTTTGTAGATAAATCAAAAGCTTATTAAATTGAGTCTATTGTCGAGATTTCAAGATGGCGTCAGTCTTTTATTAAAAAAATAAAATGCTTAACAGGGAATTTTATCCTCTCGTTTTTTTGTTATTATTTCATTCAGCATATTTAATAAAATATAAAACAGTAATTAATATCAAATAGCAACCTTTTTGGCAGGGTAAATTAAAAAAGAAATTGTTTAAATAGCGCAATCACAGACATTATGATTCATCCATTCTTCATTGTTATGGATAGTTTATTATCTACTTGTGAAAATGTACTAATTGGTTTATCCACTAAACTTCAAATCGTGAACAGCTTTCAAGGGAATTGCAAATTTTAGGTTAGTGGGAGAATTTTTCCAAATTAGTCATTTTCGGATAAAAATTGCATTCCTCTTGTCAATTCTCCACAATTCTTCTTGTAGCGAATAAAGCCCAAATGAATTATGAGAATGATTCATCTTTGAATTCTAAACAAACCTACTTATTATATTTTATAGAAAGAAAATCTTCTCATTAAAACGAGTTCATTTATCTCCTTTCCTGAGAAGAGAAAAAGGGGTCAGCACATCTCAAAATTCTCAATTCTCACTGGTTTTTAGCTTGCTTTTTCAACTTATGTTGCTGAGCTGAAGTAAGATTATGAATAAAACATAAAAAAATAATATTTTCTTTGTATTTTACAATCATTTAAGAGAAATGTGCCGAGCTCTTATTTCAGTAAGATTAGAGACGAATGTTGCTTCGTGAATACAAAAAAATACCATCAGCGAACTTCAAAAAAGGAATAAACATCAGTTTCTATTCTTTTACGTGATTAATTTTTCTTTCTTACAAAAAGGCTTCAATCAGTAGAAAATACCTGGGAGACTGATATTTTAAACCCTTCCCATGCTATCGGTATGTAGAGGAAAAATACAACAATGGTATGGGAAACCCAATGTCTATAAAAATATTTATTTGTTACCATATTAATGAAATGGTCAGCATTTTGATTAATCATATGTTAAACTGTGTGAATCTAATCTCAGACTGTGTGAATTATATTGCTAAACATTTTGACAGTCTTGACAATATGTTGACAATAAGACAGAAAATCTTACTCCCACACGGTCTGATTTCATCTTACAATTGCGTTCTTACAGATTTCTATTTTCTCACTAAACTTGTGAATGACAGAAAAATTTGGTTTGGCCAAATCAATTTAGCTGGAAAAAAAAAAGATTTTGTCGATTCGGGATTCGTCCATCTGGCATTTATGATCGGAAAAAATAA